CAACCAGGAACGCGCAATAACGGCAGGCCTAATTGGGCAGCTCCTCGCGATCACAACTGGGGGACTGCACTCACAGTTGCATGCAAGGGCAACCGCCAACCGCAACCTCTCCATGGGACAAATGTCTGGTGCTCACAGACGAATACAGACGCACCCACCTGGCATCACCAAAACCGGCGACACTGACTGCAACAAATATGGCAAGGCCACCAAAAACGACTGCGAACGGCATCGTGAAACACTACTGCAACCACCAGCAACGCTATGTCTTCCACACAACGGCAGAGTTCTCCCCTATGGGCACCAGGGCAAGGAGCGCAACACCAGGGAATGCCTCCCCAAGTCAAACCCTACAACAATGCAGCTACCACCCGGGCAGAATGGTGGCCCACTCGACAGCCCACTCAACAGCGGAGTGTCAAAACAATCTGGCCAACCAGGTGACCTCATTGCAGGGCCAACAAACAGTTCAGCCCAATAAATGTGTCCAATGTGGTCTTACAGGCCATACAGCGGCGAATTGCCCAAAGCAGGGAAACAAGAAGATCGGGCAGTGATGGCTGTCCTCTGCTTGATCCCGACACCCAACGACAACAGCCTTACAATGATCATCAACATCAAAGGACATTGTGTCACCGCCCTCATCGACACGGGGGCCACCAAATCTTTCATGGCAATGGATGTCGCCAAAGAAGTGGGACTCACACCCCACCCCACAAGGGCCAAGATCTCTGCCGCGATCCTCCACGTGTCTACAAACGTCAGCCATTCCGTGAGTACATCATTTATACTTGGCATGGCAACCTACAATGCCTCTTTCTTCCTTCTTTCAAACGCACGTTACCCAGTAATTCTTGGGCTCAATAGGCTCAAAGATCTTCCCTTCTGCGTCACCCTTGATGGGCAACACATTTTCTTGGGCTTTCAAAAAATAAAACTGACAAACGAGATACCCCGCGCCCGGTTGGCAAGGGAATTACCTTTGTCCATGGGTCAGAAACCAAACAGTCCATTGTAACCCAACTGCTCAGGAAATATGCGGCCAACATATTCCAATGGAGCGGAAAGCATGGTTTGTTCCCTCAACATGTAGCATCGCTGCCAACAAATGGGCAGGACCCAGAACCCCCCTGTAGGATCCGCCTATCACCGGATAAATTACCAGCACTCAACAAAATCATTCAAAACTACGTCCGTGCAGGAATAGTGGAAACAGCCCAGTCAACGGTCAACTTGCAGGCATTCCTGACATTAAAGAGCGACGATCCAAATGCTCCAGCAATCAAATGCTGGCGCATCATCGAGGATTACCTCGAGATCAATAAAGTGCTCCTGACCAATAGTTACCCAATGCCTGTAATACAGGACATCTTGGACGCCCTTGGCAGACAGAATGCATACTTCTGCTGTCTCGACCTGCACACGGGCTACCATCATATCCCGCTAGCGCATGGCGATCACCACAAGACAGCCTTCTCAACACCCACAGGGCAGATGCAGTATACCGTCTTGCCCTACTGGCTCAAAACCGGACCGGCAATTTTTCAAAGGACAATGGAGACAATACTCCGACCACACCTATACACAAAATGCCTAGTCTACATTGACGACGTTATTGTCTTTGGGACAACTTTCGAAAACGTATTGGACAACTTAACCCAAGTCATGGACATGCTCACTAGAGCAGGCGCATCCATCGACATCAAAAAGTTGCGATTCTTAGCCAAATCAATAAAATTCCTTGGGCACATTGTGGACAAGACAGGCACACGCCCAGCAGATGAGCACCTGCAAGCGGTAGAAGCCTTCCCAAAGCCTGGTACAACAAGGCAAATGCAAAGGTTTCTGGGACTTGCCACGTATCTACAAGCGCATGTCCCAACCAACTTCGCCAACCTGGAAAAAGTCCTTTGGAACACAATTCCAGTGAAACCGGCGACTGCCCTACAATGGACTCCGGACACGGAAACAGCCTTTGAGAGCCTCAAAACTGCAATAGCGCAAGCAGCCCAATTGGAACAATTCAAACCATCCTGGGATACGGAGATCCAATGCGATGCATCCGCGACCGCCATCGGGGCCATCCTTGTGCAGGTGGACAACCAGGCCCAACCGCACATTATGGAGTACGCCAGCCGAGTACCTACTCCCGCAGAAATGCAATACTCAAACACACAACGAGAACTACTGGCGGCCGTATGGGCCACTACCAAGAAATTTTGACACTATGTCAAACACCGGCCATTCAAGATAATCACAGACCACAAGGCGCTCTTGGGCGACCTGTCCAATACCAAGCTCATCAGCCTCAAACTGAAGTTGGAGTATTTTCAATACACCCTCATTCACCGCCCAGCCAAAACTCTAACAGGCCCAGACGCACTCAGCCGCATCCAGCTCAACTCTATACAGCTGAGGGAAGTACCAGATCCGGTAATGCAATCGCAATTGATACAAGAATATCATGAAGAAATGGGGCACCCCAATTGGAAAAAAACATTCGACCAACTGGGCCACTGCTACACCTGGCCCACACTCAGGGCTGACGTCTTCCAACACGTGACAAGCTGCAAAAAATGTTTCACATTCAATCCAGCCACATCACAAATTGGCGCACAATCCAAGCCAGTCCCCCCAGCAGAAAAACACAACTGACTGGGGATTGACTTCTGCGGGGACCATTCCCGCCATCCCAGCAGGGACAGCGGTACGCATTGGTGGCCGTCGACTACTACTCCCACCAAGTGGTGGCCCAGCCAATCAAATGAGCAATGGCAAATGCCCTCTGCTCCTTCCTAGCGGACGTATTCCCCCAGCTAGGCTCCTTCGAGATCATCCGCTCGGACGGGTCAGCCGTTTTTGGTTCAGCGGCTGCAGAGGTTCATCAAAGCTAATCAAATCATGTCATGTAGCGCAGCCATATCACCTGGAAGGAAATGGGGCATGCGAAAGAGCAACTAAATCTTTGACGATGATCCTGGCAAAAACAGCACCTGACCCGACACTATGGGACACAGTACTCCACGAGGCAACCATGGCATATAACCTGACTCCACATGCTGCAATGGGGCTACCCCCCATTGAACTGTGGAACCAAAAGCCAATTCCCACTCCGTGCAACATTAAATTCGAGGCACTGGACAGGGACATCAGCAACCAACTGCAAAAAGTGGGCGCCATATGCACAAAGCACCAAGCCCGCTACACGCAACAGGCTAACAAACAGCGCAATCCGCCTTTCCAGAAAGGGCAAATGGTAGTACTCAGGCCACGCCTAAAAACAACCAAACGGCACGCCGCCACCAGACGTTTTCTAGCCAAACAATTTGGACCCTTCAAAGTGCTGGCCCCACTGGGGAAAGCCAAATATAGTATTGACACTCCACAGGGACCACAATGCGCAAACGCCTGGGAAATGCAGCCCTACTCTCCCCTTCCTTTATGGCTCCAAAATGCCCACCCTACCTATGACCCGTACCTAATTCTCAAACTTCTCCTCCATTACAGGATACCAACGACGAGACTCCCCGCCCAGGATTCCGGTTAGCTACCAAATCGGACGACAAGACTGGGGCAAATGCCACTCACTGGCACCACCGGCCCAAACCAGCCCACCGTTCTGCGGCGACAACATCGAATCTGAGCCAGACTTCGCGGAGTACATCCAGCAACAGTCCGACTCACCATTCCCCAGATGACAGTCTTCACCACCACAGCCAGAGCCCACTGCGCCACCTCCAGAGCAGTGCCCCATCGCCAGCATTGAGCGAGGAGCTGAACCTGCTGGAGACGACGCCACGGACTCTGACTCCAACACCGGGGCCAACCATTTCAACCAGCAAAAATGACGCCATTTCCCGTCAACCACCTCATCGTTGTCAAGCTCGGCCGAGTCCTCCGACAGCTCAACGACCACCAAAGAGGAGACGGACATCAAGCCCAAATGGGCCAACCTGGCCACAGGCCTCAACGGCCAGGGCCCAATCACCAACAAGGAGTGTAGCCTACCCAAACCCACAGGACCAAGACCCCGACTTAACCGGATGCCAACGACAACCACAAGGACGCCGACGACGGCCCGCGCGCTTCCAAAACCAGTGGTCTCCGCCCCCCCATTTTTTTTGCCTCCGCCGGCATCTTCTTTTTCAAAGTGGGGGAGAGTAACCGCCACCATTGGCCATACTGTCCCGCGCGACAGGAAACCATCGCGTATTTGATTGTTTTATACCTTTGTTTTATATTGGCCAATCAGGGCCCACTTGACGCGCGTCGCGCGCAACTGTTGACTAAGAGGTCCCGCGCAGCGTCATTCAATCATCGACCTCTGTTCGGAAAGGACCAGTGTAAATATATGTGAAGAACTCGCTACCTGACTGAATTACAATCTGTGTTCAACAGTTGGTAGTGTGTTACTTTATCCTGCAGGACTATCTGATCTCTGTAGTGAACTAGACAGTGAGTGGACAAAAGTCTTACTGTACTTCCACTTCATTTTGACTGCCTGTCGCTGTAAGCAACTGATGGGTTGCTTTCTGTGCGTTTTTTGGAGTTCATGTATTGTTGCACTCTGAAAAACATGTGGGGTGTTCCGCTTTTTTTAAATTTAATAATCCCAGAGTTTCCGTTTCATCGTTGTCCAAATTTACTGTAGGACAGCAGCTGAGCCGGGGCATCTCCGAAGTGCTTTTTTGTACTGTGCTCTTATTTGAATCATAAGGGCGAGTACATTCGTATCTAAGCAGTATAGGTGTCTCTGTTTTGATCGTTGAATTTTCGTAATGTTTGTAGATGTTGCTTCTGCATACTATATTGTCATGGCGGCGCTCGATGAGGCCACCTATGCTAGGAACGGTGGCGGAACTCCCACGTGCTCCATCCACGCGTTCTAAGTTTCCGCGAGGCTGAATTTGTTCGAGATTTGGATTATGATCTATCTCTGCTTTCTAAGTAAACACCCCGCCCAGTTCAATGATGTTGTTTTCTCCGTGTGTTCATCTTCCAGTCAAGGTGTTGTGCTGCGAATATCGATTTTTAGAAACTTCGGACGTGAAGGAGCTTGTTGAATGTACCTCTGAAGCGCCGTCAACTTACGGCACTCGCAGAAGAAATGAGCAATCCGATTCTTCAAGCGCAGCCCAGCATCCCCGGGGTGCAGGGCAAAGAAGGAAAATTCATTGCACGTGGAACTCAACGCGGCAAAGGTATCGCTGTTTTCACGAGTGGAGGAGATGCCCAAGGTAAACTTCTTCTATCAAGTTCGAAAGTATGATTTTAAAGACCTTTTTTTAGGGATGAATGGCGCCGTTCGTGCTGTTATTAGAATGGGAATATACCTGGGCGCGAAGGTATATTTTATCAAGGAAGGATATCAGGGTATGGTGGATGGTGGAGACAACGTGGTTGAAGCATCGTGGTCATCTGTTTCCGGGATCATTCACAAAGGAGGCACTGTGATTGGTTCTGCTCGTTGTAAAGATTTCCGTGAGCGACCGGGTAGACTAAAGGCTGCAAAAAATTTAGTGAAGAAAAACATCACAAATTTGGTTTGTATCGGAGGCGATGGCTCTCTGACTGGTGCTAATCTCTTTCGCGTGGAATGGAGCTCTCTTCTGGATGAGTTGCTTTCTACAGGTAAGTCGCACGAATTCAGGTTTTCGTCACGCTGACTCACGTTTTAATTTTATTTATTCCAGGTGAAATAACGAAAGAGGAAAGAGATACTTGCGCGTATTTGAATATCGTTGGTATGGTTGGATCGATCGACAACGATTTTTGTGGAACCGACATGACTATCGGGACTGATTCTGCATTGCACAGAATCATCGAAGCGATTGATGCAATTGTAGCCACTGCGTATTCTCATCAAAGAACTTTTATAATGGAAGTTATGGGAAGACATTGTGGTTATCTTGCGCTGGTTGCTGCCCTGGCAAGTGAGGCAGATTTTGTCTTCATCCCTGAGTGGCCCCCAGAACCGAATTGGCCTGAAACTCTCTGCAAAAAGCTTGCTCAAGTATGCCTCATTTTTTCGAATGCAGAATTGGCTTGTCTCAAAGTATAGTAATACAATTTCAGGAACGAGCGATGGGTCAACGGTTGAACATCATTATTGTTGCTGAAGGAGCGATTGATCGCGAAGGACAACCCATTACCGCAGAGCAAATCCGCAAAGTCGTCGTCGACCAACTCAAACAAGACACTCGTATAACTGTTCTTGGTCATGTTCAGCGCGGTGGAAGTCCCTCGGCGTTCGATCGAATTTTGGTATGTTAAAAATATTTTAATATATTTAGTATTAAAAATGTTTGATTTTCCTGAAATTTATTGATTTTGTCGGAATGATTCACTTCACGAGTCAAAAACTAATTTTGATCATGCATGTGGGATACTTGAGGTGGGTTCAATGTCGTAAAAGATTTCGAAGTGTTGAATCTCACAGTTTCAAATCCGTGATCTAACGTTTCATTTTTTCGATTTCCTGATTTTTTTTTGGCATGAATAAATGCATCAACGAAAAATTTCCTAGTAGGTGTATTCTAGAGAAAGTTCTCTTACCCGATTTCACCATCCAATCTGCTTTTTGGAATATAAGTAATCGCGTTGATTTAGAAGTCAGGATGGTTTTGCTCAAAGCTCAAGGTTTTCAATGAGTTCTGTTCGTTTTGTTGTGGATATGTCTTTGATTGTTTCCCTCTCCAAAATTTTCTGAGTCTTCAGCTCTCCTCTCGTGTTCTCTTCTTAGGGGTGTCGTATGGGGGCTGAAGCAGTGCTGGCTCTTTTCGAGATGAAGCCTGATTCTGAAGCTGTAGTAGTCTCATTGGATGGTAATCAAGCTGTGCGTGTGCCTTTGATGGCCTGCGTCGAGAAAACCAAAGCCGTTGCCGCTGCCATGGCTGCGAAGGAGTGGGAGAAGGCTGTTGAACTTCGTGGCAGGTTTGTATTGCTTTTTTTCCCTAGAATGCTTAAATTCAGTTCTACTGGCTGGGATATTGGAGCATACGATTTGCGTATCTCGAGGCATTTTCCGATTTGCTCTTCTTTTTATACATTTTGAAGGAGTTTTGTGCGTAATTTGGAAACGTACAAAATGTTGACGCGATTGAGACCACCTCGAAGCGTGGTGGATCCTGAAGGCTTCGGAACCGTGAGTAATTTCGTGGGATGGAGGGGAATTCAAGAATTTCTTATGTATGGTGGTGGTCATCACGCACCTTTTTCCTCTGGATTTAACAGCGTTGGTTTAATAAGCTTGTCTCTGAATACAAGTTTCTGTTAAGTGTTGTTACTGACTCGTTGGTTTCGGAAAATTCCTTTCCTGATATTCCTGGATATGCTTGAAATATTTTTTCGTTTATTTCTTCTGTCCTACCTGTTGGTGACCCCAGCAAAAAGTGGAGGCTTCAAAACTTCGAAAGGTGAGCATTGCCTAGTTGTCAGGAAGGAGAGATTGTGGTTCTATTCGATTTTTTGAGGCTTAATATTTTCATGAGCATATTCTGTTTTGTTCTCTCGTCAGCAATCTATCTTCATGATTGACTTAAATCTGGTGAGCGGAGCTCTAGTCTCCTCCGTGTCCCATGTTTTCTGTGATACGTATTGCTCTATAGCTGAAATAATTAACTAGGGAACGGATTTGGTTTTTCCAAAATAGCCTGCACCCATCTGACGAGACAAAAGCGTAGTCTCACGTCCTGTATGTTCATGAAGTCCTGCTCGACCACATCAGCTTTCTTACGAGTCAGGATCTATTTTCTTTGTTGTAGTCGCTTCCACCATTAACTTCTTAACCCACTCTTCGACGCGAACTTGACCCCTCTTTCCCCGATTACAGAGGCTGTTCAACTAGAAACTGTATGTTTGCTTGTGCGTGTGTGAATTTTCTTGGCTAACATGCAAGGGTTTGTCTTTGGTTGCTCTTTTTTCCATGCCACTTGCAAGCAACTCACTTTGTATTGTTCCTCCGTGAGTAACACGTATTCATGTTTGTTCTTGATGTGCTGCCGTATTTTAGTCAAATTGTAAGGTTGCTTTGACTTAAACGACGATATTGTTGATTTATTCTTGCTTTTAGGGTGGGTTCACAATGGCCGTGGTTCACATTGGGGCTCCAGCATGCGGAATGAACGCCGCCGTGCGTTCTTTCGTGCGAAATTGCATTTATCGTGGTGATACCGTTTACGGTATTCATGACGGCATAGAAGGATTCATCGAAGGCAATGTAAGGTTTTGAAAATGTACTTCATTTGCGAATATTTTTACAATTTTTGTTTTACTTCTTTAGATTCAAAAATTGAACTGGTCAGACGTGAACGGCTGGGTTGGACAGGGTGGCGCTTTCTTGGGAACGAAGCGCACACTCCCTGAAAAGTATTTGCCCCAGATTGCGGAAAAACTGAAGGTTTATGGAATACAGGGATTGCTTGTCATTGGTGGTTTTGAGGTTCGTATGTTTTCTTGAAGCAATAAGGTGGATCACTCTACTGTATTCATGAATTTGTTTTCAGGCGTACCAAGCCGTGCAACAGCTTGCCGATGCAAGAGCAGAATATCCCATGTTCTGCATTCCTATGATCGTCATCCCATCGACGATTTCCAACAATGTTCCAGGCACTGATTTCTCCCTGGGATGTGACACTGCCTTGAATGAGATCAGCGAGGTAAATAACTGCCTTTCCTCCTATGGAGTATCATTTTTGAAGTTCATTGCTAGTTCGAATTTATTTTTTTGTTATGGCGTCTTCAAGGACTTCAAGCTGTTCTGATTTCTATCGACAACTTTGTATGCGGAAGAGTGACTTTACCGTTGAAATACATCGATTTTTCTTCAGATCTGCGACAGAATTCGTCAATCTGCGCAAGGAACGAAGCGCCGTGTATTTGTAATCGAAACGATGGGTGGTTACTGTGGGTACCTCTGCACTCTGGCTGGCCTAGCCGGTGGAGCCGATGCTGCGTACATTTTGGAAGAACCTTTCCGCATCAAAGATCTGCAAGAGGATGTGCTGCACATGTCCTCAAAAATGGCCGAAGGAGTCCAGCGCGGACTGATTCTGAGGAATGAAAACGCTAATGCCAACTACACCACGGATTTTTTGTATCGTTTGTATTCGGAGGAAGGGAAGAATATCTTCAGCACAAGGATGAATGTTTTGGGTATGCAATAATTTTCGAAATTTTATAGCTCAAATTTTAATGCTTCATTCGATTTTTTAATAGGTCACATGCAACAAGGTGGATCACCTAGTCCTTTCGACAGAAACATGGGTACTAAAATGGCTGCAAAGTGCGTCGAATGGATGATTCGTAAGTTAGAGGAAGGAAGAAATGAAGATGGAAGTATTTACCTTGATACCCCGGACAGTGCTGTTCTTCTTGGTATCGTTCGACGTCAGTACTGCTTCACTCCTGTACAGCACCTCAGAGAATACACGGATTACAAGTAAGTTCTAACATTGAACCTCGTAGTTTTTCCGCATCCCCCTCCCTGTAAATTCTCAGTACTTTACTGTACAATACTTGAACTCTACGAAGTACTCAACAGTAATGAACCTTCTCTTCATGCGAAAAAAATGGTAGGAAAGCTTTAAAAATTGTGTTTGCCAAGCAGGAAGCAAACATTATTGTCTATTGTTCAGGAAATAATCTAGTTGAGCGTCGCAATCCCTGCTAATTTTTTCCTTGTGCCAATTGTCAAGTTTTCATTAGGTGTGAATTCAATCGGGAAATCTTGAAATGATGAGTGTTGTTAAAATTCTGTGTAACCCAAGCCATATTTCTTACGTCCTGCAATAGTTTAATAATACTGTATGTTTTCGAGTCACGTCCCAAAACGTGAAATGGTGTTGCATAGCGACTTGTTGCTCCAAAGTGCACGAGGTCAGTTGTCTGGTTTGCGGTCATTTACCCTGCCCCCTTTTTATGGTGTCTTGTCCTGTTTGCGCAATTGCGTCTGGAAAGTGTCGAATCTATAAAAGGTCTCTGCATGCATTGTACAGACATTCATTTGTGAGTCTGGTGTTGACTGAGGTAACCCAGAAATATACGTATTACACTCTATATTGAGAAGTTGTGTTTTACTTATAAACCCCGGCCATAAGAACTAAATCTTCTTGTTCAAAGTTTGTCTTAAAGAGTTTATATTCTCTAGATTAATTGGCTTTAGGAAGAAGACATTCTTCCATTGTCAAGAGTGTCTTAAGATAAAATTCTTACAGAATTAGGACAACATCTGCATGATTACATTTTCAGGCACCGCATTCCCAAGTTCCAGTGGTGGTTAAAACTACGTCCATTGCTGCGTATCCTGGCCAAGCACCATGCAACCTATGAAGAGGATGTTGAAGTACTGCTTGAAGAGAATCTGGAGGAAGAAAATGCAATCTCATAAATATTTCAAGTGCAATCCACACTCAAATGCCCGTGATGTTGTACGGTTGAAGTTCCTTTTTGTAAGGTTGAAAACTTCGCGAAAATACCCTGACAAATCTTGTTCGATTGATACATTTAGACGGCAACCGAGAAAAGTTTTGAAGTCCTTAACCGTTGATGGGCCAAAACTTGCATCGTTATGAAGAAATCAAGTGTGTGTTGTTTGAATCGGCTAATTTGAGAAAAATGTAGATGAACGACGTGCAATAATTGAACGTGAACGGCGTTGTCCAGTATAGTTCTAGTCCGTTGAGGCTCATGGCTAACCACCGTCTTAGTTTTTTATAACAACGAACCGCGAATTCGTGTCAAGTGTGTCAAGGTTTGTGTCAAATAGTTTGTGAATTAGCAGTGCTGCTTTGACTCCTGAAACATTTGTCTCTCTGCGAACTCGTTGTTCGGAAAGTTTCTGATAGCTGCCGCTAACTTAACAGTGTCGTTACTGCAATGTTATACAGTACTGTATTGACGAAGTGTCATGTGTCCTTGGCCATGGAAAGGTGATCAGACGTTTGGTAAAAATCCATTGTGTTCGCATTTTTGAAAAGTTGGTAATGCTGTATTTAACGGTCAAGTTGTGGTTGTGAGATGACAAAACCTCACTGATGTTGCAGGTTGCATGGATTTCACTTCAGTGAGAAATCTTTGAATTATGGCGAGAATTCCAGTGCATCGTTTATGCTTGAAGATGAAGTCCTGCATTGCAATCTATCACGATCAATATTACGGTATCTTGTTTAAGATGATCGGAGAAAATAGAAGGTTTTCAGCATCTAATTTCTGCATTTTCATTCTATTCGGCGATATGATGCTTCGTTGCTGTTCGCGTGTATATGCTGTAGAGGCAGCTAACAATTTTATCTGAACAGATAAGCCAGTTATTATGGAGTCATACTTGACTGATGTAGTCACTGTAACACAGCATAAACTGAACAATTATGCCGTCTTTAAGAACTCTCATTTTCTGGGACACATTTCGGTAAGATCCTGATGATTATTCACGTGTCTTGGGGGAAACTTTTGCGCAGTGGACACAAATCATGCCATTTGCTATGCACTGGTTGCTGAGGATTATGCGAAGATTCGAACATAATTGGACGATCAAAGAAATGAGAAGGCTTTCTCAAGAAATAGCATGATCTGATGTACAGTACGAATAACTGGGCTAAACAGGAAGTTGCACGAAAGAGCTGAAAGAGGACGTTTTTCTGCAGGAATTCGTTGAACATCCGAAAGTCTCCCATAAATGCATAAATCATGCTCATTTAAGGGGTACGTTGGCAAGACTGTGTATGATAAATGGAACCTCACACATAGTCAAACCCCAGTTTGATTCCATCATTTGTCCCAGGATCCTGGCACTAAACAATAAGGGTGGCACTAAATTTGGGATATCCCACTGGAGGAAAGTTCAGTTCAGAAGTCTTCTACTACAGTCAAAATAAAATAAGCATGCTTTCAGAATTGTTGTACCATTACGAATTCTGTTTTCTAGAGAGAGAACAAGCCACAATATTACTTTCTTCACACGTTCAAATGAATTTTTTATGCAGTACCTATATTCATTTAATTATATAGAAAATACAATATACTGTACTGTGATACGTCGTACATACACTGTATTTTATTTTCTCAAATTGGTGCCCTGTTCAAAGTTGTATATGCTTACTTCGTATTTATATTCGATGCATTGTATTTTTACACTGTTATGTTCTGTTGTATCTAACAACAGAAGATAAAATGAGATCATGATTTTTCATCACAACAGTGTTACGGATGAATATGTGTTGCCTGGAGTGGAAGACATACGGATCACATCATGGTTCTCCAAAAATTTAATTTTATGTGTGTGCTGCAAATAAAAAATGCACTGCTCCTTAAAATAGGCCCAATTTTTTTTGTGCAGCACCAGGCCAAATTATGTTTTAATCCGGCCCTGGTTACAGTAATTTAATTTCACATCTCGGTTTTGCCGTCAATCCAGCAATTAATTTTTGAAGAATAACCATGCTAGCAGTCTTAGAAAGGAAAAAAGGTGTGCTGGAATTTGCCGCAGTGCTTTTCCGATATTGACAAATTCGTTATTCTCTCGTCCCCATCAACCCACACAAGCAGAGAGAAAAGGCGCAATTAATTTTAAAATGCAAATAATGATATATTGTATACTGTAAATAGATGACCTCTTCGGCAGCTGCCTTAATATACTGTAGTACTAAAGAGGATCACATGTTATATTCTTCATTTCTCTATGACCTATTATATATGCTTTTGGCGCTTTGGAATCTGAAAAATTCTGATCATCCAGAGAAAATTATAAAATTGATTTTGATTGTTTTTCTGTGTCGTGTACTCGTGTGGCAGAATCTCAGGTTCTAATTTTTCAATGAGGATATGCAGAAGCTCATTAGAATCTGTGTTATGGAAAACATTTCGAAAAATTATTAAGGAGATCAATCTGGACATTCACAAGAAAAGAGCTATGGTCTTTTTTCAGGAGATCGGGGAGAGTGCGTGCCCAGTTCAGATGGATCTACTGCTGTATACCTAAATTGCCATTACAAAATAATTCAGGAAAAGCTTTAAACACCAGTTAGCACCAAAAAGCAGACACAGTTCACGTAGACTCGTTCTGATGGAGTCTAGAGTAAATATATAGAACAATGATTTTTTCTGCAAAGATTTCATCTATAACAATTTGTGTGGCACCATAGGATCGACACATTAAATAAGGATTCTCTACACTAGAATTATCTCTAAAACGTATTTCCCGGGTCCATTCAGTTATTGCATAGAGATAGAGACCACCTGTATGTTGTAGCAACGTTTTTCAAAGAAATAAAAAGGAGTCAATAGAAAGCATGGAATAGGGCGAAAACTATAATGCTCCTTGGGTTTCTTCAAATTCCAAATGAAAAACAATACGATCGCTTCTCCTCCAAATTCATCATTTAAATACTGAAACTACAGTAATGCATAATGGCAAAAACACTCTCAGATTAGCAACTTACAAAACAGAATATTAACAAATTGGTAGGTGTACTAAGCACATCAGCAAGTACTGGACACAAAACCGAACGTACCAAAATGAAAAGTAAGTGTTTCTTGTACACACGTTGAGGAGTTTCGATCAGGTTCCAAAGATACAGTAAAATCTCGTTACAACAAATACCGTTACAACAAATTTTTCAATATAACAAACTTTTTTTCAAGTCCCGGCAGAAAGCCTATAGACTACATGTTATAAAAATCTCATTATAACAAACTTGG